TTAAGTTACTTCACACTTAAAGTAAACTTAATGTAATTTTAAGTATATGATCCGATCTTAAAGAGTATTTGTCCCCAATGGTCTTTAGACTTTTCAGTCTGCTTCCTCAAATTTGTGATGACGAATTTGGTTAATGACAATACCTGCATGCTCCCTCATTTATTTTAGAGTATTTGCAGCTGATGTGGTCTGATGTTTGGTTGCATTTATAGTAGTGTTAGAATAAACACTATTGGTCAGTCAGGCAGAGCTCTAATGAGTGGCGAAATACCTTCAGCCTGCAGGAACATTGAGCCACACATAATGTTACTAACAAACAATGACGTCCTGTCCTGTCCTGTCCTGTCTGCCCGGTCTGCTGAAGTTGCTGATGACTCTTACAGTTGAGATGGCAGTGCAGCGTTCTAAATTAAACATCCCAAACACCCCAGCCTGATCTGTGATAATGTCATTCATTATCAGTTAACCTGCCCTTACTACGATGTGTTAAAAATGTCCTATAATTACATTCAGATGATGAGGACACATCTGGCTGCCTCCCAGGCTGCCACAGGTTTGTCTCACACTTTTTTGCTAGTGTAGAAAAAATGTTCTAATCTGCTGATTAGAGGTGTATTTAACGTTTACCCGTTTGTACTCCTAACGCATTACTTCCTAACATAATGAGAACCGATTAAAGAATAAAAGTTGATAAGTTATCAAATTGAAAAATCGATAATGGGATCTGAATTGGCAAATTCTTTTCAATTCCCCTTTCAAAAAAATCACCACAATCCATATCAATGTAATTAATCAAGCTGTAGGTTTTCTAATAAAGAATAGAGTAGAGCTTCAAAAAGTTAAATCTTTTTGGTCGTTTAGAAGCTGGAGGCAAACCCAATTATGGGATGGTCTTCCTTCGATTCTCTCCTTTCCTCTCTCGCTCTCTCTCTCTCTTTCAATACTTCTATGATCCAGCTACAGTTGTTTCAAGAAGTATAATGTATGTAATGACATTATTGAATACTGAAAATAGTAATCTAAATATGTAAAGTAATCTTAAACGAGTAACTGGTACTAATCAGTTCTTCGCCTGAGTATCATACAAGTAATATTTACAATAATTTCACTATACGGAGGAGTTCTGTACTACCTTTGTATGAGTATATAATCGACAATCAATACATTTTACCATTACTTCCAAGTACTTAAGCATGTCAACAATATTAACCTCTTCATCACTGCTCCAATCTGAGCTGACACTGACATCAGTGAGGAAAAAGTTATGTTGATTTTGATTTTTCAGCTTTGTTGCTTTCCCCCTCCTTCTGCATAGGGTTAGCTTTGTTAATTTGCCTGAAAAATCTCCATCAGATTCAAATAAAAACAATTTCCATAATATTCAGATGTGGTGAGCCGTCTGTCGCGGTACGTCACAAAAATGAAATGTATATTTAATCATTTCAGTGTAATGAAAGCCTGTCAGGGAGCCGAATGAAGGAAATTTCTTATAATACTGGGGTGCATGCAGTGAATGTGGAACTGTATGATCCAGATGCAAACGGCGTTCTAACTGAGTGTCTTGATCAATGAATCTAAAAATGAGAACAAGAATGTCTGTGTCTCAGCAAATAAGTAGTATGATTTAGGAGCATTCAGAGGATGGGGTTGAACAGATGGGAACTTGTGCCACCTTTCTATCGCAAATGTAATGCCTGCATTCAGGGAGGGAGGGGCATTTTGGGGTAATTAGGATTAAACAGTGGCACCAACTAGGACATTGACAGGAAAAAACAATTTGTTGATGTGTTGATGTTAGTGGCTCAAGTCGACATCCCCACGAAGAAGACGAAATGTTATGTTTTGTTTTTTTACTGGTGCTTCGAATGAAAAGCAGTCCCTGTTGCACATTTAGTCATAAAAACAAACAAGTGATTGTGCAGTGCGGTGGAATTCCACTATTATAATGCTGTTTCTGCTACAAGAGCAGTGGATGTATCTGTCAATCAATCAATCAATCGGTCTATCTATCTATCGATCTATTCACAGTATCTTTTGTTGGACGTGTGTCTGTGTAGTTCCTCCTTTGTCAATGCGATGATGTCATTAAAGCCCTGTCGCCTGGAGTTCGACTTTACTGTCAGATTACTCCGTGCGACGTGAACGTTGGTTTGTCTTTTTTATCTCAGTTCACAGATGAGCTGAACAGCCGCTGCCTCAGTCGAAGCTCATTTGAGTCCATCAATGGCTTAGTGTGAAATTGATGGCTGGTCGACGCTGGTGTGGATGGTCATTTACTCTGCACGTACAAGTTTTAGAGAAAACACACTCAGCCAGCAGACTAGGAGAACTACAGTTCTACTACAGTAATTATAGGTTTTATTACAGCTTTTAGTAGTGCGTGACCTAAAGAAATACACTTTTTAGATGCAAAAGTTTTAATTGGTCATTAAGCAACACTGTGCTGTCAGGTCATTGAGGCGTGCAGGGATCGGAGGTCTGCGAGTTGCTGCGCTTTGTACGCTTTGTTAACCAAAGTGTAGTGCAGGGCTCCATAAGGGATTAGACACATAAGAAAAGGCTTGTAAAATGATCTTACCTGATCTGATTTAATGGTGGTTTTGATTCAGTCATAAGAACTAAATGATACAAAAAGGGACCGATCATTTGAGTTTTACTTGGTGTCATATTTTAGTGATAAAAATGTGTTAAGACGCATCTTTGAAGAAATCTGTAACAGCTTTAACAGTTTGTTTTATATGTATGTATTTTAATAAACTTGAATGAAAATCTGTTCAAATGAGTTTTGATCTAGCTCCATCTGTTATTTACTTTTTAAAACTGCAGGATCATTTCAAACAAAATTCTATTTTAGTTGGCAAAAACAGAAAACAAAGGTGTTTGGACTTAAATGGAGGACATGCTGGGAAAAGCTTTGCTGTTTTTTTTTTTATTTTTATTGGTTTTCCTATTGCACAGACAGAAAAATATGAATTCAGAAGTGAGTGGTAGTAAGGAAAGAAGGCCAAGATTTTAATAACTGCTGATATTTTTCCATCTGTCAGGTGAATATTTTGTGAAGATTTGAGTTATGTACACAGCTGTTATACTTTAGAGCATATTAATTATGTTCTGTGGTGCCCTTTGACTGACCTGATGCGTCACAGATTCTCTTTTGCTTGTGTTACATGATGGCAATACATAAGATAGAGTACATTTGTACTGCCCACAGTCGTTCAGTTGCGACATATGTATGTGTGAGTATGGCGGGGTAATACATTTTTTTCAAATATATATTTATATATTTATTGATATGTGCAATCTTATTTATGAAACCTCCATTTTTGCCTGTTTCTGGCCATTTCTCTTCCTCTTTCCTTAACTTCAACTTCACTCTTCTCCGCCTCTCTTCCTCCCTCTGCCTGCCTCGCCCACACCTCTCACCTGAGCAACATCACTGCAGTTCAGTCAAAAGAAGAAAACTTGCAGCTTAGTTATTTGGCAGTGGTTTGGGTTTAAAGTTCAGTCAAAAAATAAATAAAACTAGGGTCATGACCTGCAGTGTTGATAATGTGAAACTGATGGACTGAAGCAACGCTTCCCTCTTGCTCTCTGAATAAAAACACTGCAGAGTGCATATTTCCATGCAGTGAGTTTATAAAACCTCTCAACCCTTGATGTAGTAATGTCTACAGTAATGGGTTATACTGGTCAGCTCCTGTTCTCTTAGTTCCAATTGCATGAAAGATGTGGAGAATCCAGGAATGTAAATACATTCAGCCCTCAGTTGGATATTTTTATTTATGTTTTTAAATTCATAAAGAAAATATCGTCAGAAACTACAAACTTTAAATACATCAGTTCACATAAATACATGGTTTCTTATCAAATGCAACGAAATTATAGAAAATAACTCTTTTCACATCTGGTTTTACTGGTTTCATTGTTCTGGAGTATGATATATAATGGAATTTGAACTGCTACATTGCTAATAAAATGTGACTGACAGAAGGCTGGTTATATTACGTTTTAAGGTAGTTAAATCGAATCAAATACTATACTGATATGATGTTTTTTTAATGTAGTTTTTTATTTTTTATTTTTTGATGACTTTTCAAAGAAACTGCTCAAGGCTGCCGGTGATTACATTTGCATAATTTCACATAAACTCATCATATGAATCGTGTTTCCATGAAACTCAAAGGAGAATAAAAAGAGCAGTAATTAAACTTGTAAGCTCAGAAACTGTTCCATAATTTTTGTTAAAAGTATGCAAATGCCTTTAATCCCTGATAGGGACATATTGGGCTCTATGCAATATGTTTCAAGTACGCTACCACCAGCATGAGAAAGAAATGGAAGGATAAAAAGGCAGCAACATATTCTCTTGTACCACAAATGTGGATTTCAAACAGCCTGTTGGAGATAGATCTGCTCTGTGTAAAATAAAAGAAACGTCCAAAAACCAACTTTTCTCAAAAAGGTACAAATTATGATGTTGTGACGCAGTAGCAGTAAAGCAAATGGACAGACGAAGCACGCAAAGACGTGTCATGTGACCTTTTCACCAGAGTGTATAAAAACTGAAGTAAGAGTGATGGAAAGATTTGTGGGTTCTCATGTGTCACATTTGAATGTCAGTCACAAATTTGTAACAGGTCCAATGTGATAGCTGGTTCGTAATTAGCCTGTCTGTATTATTCTGAACCAGAGCCTTGAGGAGTGAGATTAACTCTGACATAATATATAATTAATATATAATTCTTCCCCTCAAGTCATTGTCACCAACTATGTCAGTCGGAGTTGTCGGCCCTGTCTGTTACAAGCAAGTTATATATTTCCATGAATAGACGCAATAATTGAACCTACTCTGCTGGTGTGTGTGTGTGTGTGTGCATACTGTACATTGAAACGTGTTAATGAGTTACATCATCACTGAGGATCAGCATGCGTTTGGTAGGAAAGGCTTGCTCTTTTGAAATTCAAATTACTTCTTCTAAGACGCTGTATTTTTCTTACAGCGCTCAATATAACAGAGGAGAAGACAACGTGTCCCCTGGGATATTTCCCCTGTGGCAACATGACCCTGTGTCTCCCTCAGCTGCTGCACTGCAACGGCATTGATGACTGTGGTAACCAAGCAGATGAGGAGAACTGTGGTAAGTTTTGAAATTCACATAATCGCATAATTATTATCATTAATGATATGTTGCTATATACTGTATGTACTGAACATGTGTATATATGTTTGTATATATACTATATTCTACTACAGGGGTGTCAAACATACGGCCTGCGGGCCAAAACTGGCCCACTGGTGGGTTCAGTCTGGCCCGCCTGATGAATTTTGAGAGTGAAAAAATTCACAAACAAGTTATATTTTATTAAAATATGAAGATTTTCTAATAAACTTTTCTAATACTTATTTGCATGCAAACAAAGGAGAAAATAATGTTATTTATAGGTATGATATTACTGGTCCAACCCACCTAATCAGGCCCCTGAACCACAATGGGTTTGACAGCCCTGCTGTACTCTATACGTATACACATACAAATATATGTTTATATAGTCATGCATTGATTTAGTTATATATTTTATTTCTGTACAATACTATACCAAGCACTCCGTCGTACACCAGCACGTTGCACCCTGCTGTGATGTTCCTTCACTGTCTCTAGGGCACCTTTGGATATTCTGTCCATTGTGTCCAACCTCATGCGGTACAGTACATCACAGATACAATGGAAGAAGTTTTATACTTTTTTGGCATGTTCCTGTGCTGCCACGGTTACTGCCCAGGTCCAGTCTTCTTCATCCATAGAGTGGGTCTTCCTGACATCAGTTACTTTCTCTCTCCACTGCCTCGAAATGTCACTTATGTGTCTTTCAATCCCTGATAGCCCATCTGATGTCTCCTCTTTTCCCTGCTGGGTTTCAGTTGCCTGTGGCATTCAGATAGTAGGTCAGCACAGGGGGCCATGTGTCCGATATAGTCCTGGATGCTGCTGGTTTGATCCCTGGACTGTGGAACTGACACTCACTAGTCTTTGGTTATTCTCCTGTTAGTGTACAGCCATGGGGTGCTGGTCATGGGTTGAAACCCCCAATGCGTGCTGAGAAGTTTTCTAATCATGATGTCAACTGCCTCTTATGATCCCTTTTGGCCAGGCTATTACCGGCAGGCCTTAGGGATGCATGTGTAGGAAAAATGTCGTATTGAGCATTGCAATTACAGTGATGAAGTTGCCCAAAAGTTAGGAGTACTTTTGACGGAAATGAATGCATCTTACCTCATTCAGTCACACACATATATAGCCCATATATTTAAATTGGCCCAAAGTAACTTCCTATTTACGAAGATCACTAAAATCAGAGTATATAATTTATCTGATAATTATAAAAAAAAAGTAAAGCATCTACACATAGTACAAAAAAAAAACTCTGATGGGGACTTCATTGCTCTATCTCCTCACAAAACATGGCAAGTCATTTCATTGTGTAACACCAACAAACACAGATGGGGATTAAAGGCCCGAGTGTCGCAAATATTCCAGCAGTCATTCCGTAGCTGCATATTACAGTCCTTAGAACATCATCATTACTCCAACCTAATGCCAATGAGATACAGAGCTGAGTTATAGTGATGCTTGGAGCATCAACAAAAAATTGAAGGGCCCATAACTTCTGAAAAAGAAAACAACTTACCCTCATTTCACAAAATATGACTCATTTCTGTCAAGTAAATCACTTCCTGGTGTGTATCCCCATGATCAGTGAGCCTTCTCTGCAGCCCTGCTCCAGCAGGCCCCCTGGGGAGACCTTTATTTTTATTTTTTTTTAAAGTCAGTCACAGCATCATCTCAAATAGTTTTTAAATGGATTATATATTTTTTTTCATTACATTTGCTGTTTTCCTGTTCTACACAGTGGCCATCGCTGCCTTTTTTTACGTTTCAGACAGAGTGATGTTTTTCTCTATATCAGTGTCCTGGATGATTTGCGTGTGTATATTTTCACCCTTTTTAATATATTAATAATTGCAAGTTTGAATTGCGGTTATTGTGGTTATGTTCCCCACACAAAATGAATCAATTACTTAAAGAAAATTAACTCAGTTTACTGTTGTGACGTCTCAGTTCAGCAACACAACAAATTAAACACAAACCATCTCTTTAACCAAGTGAAGGTCAAATGCTGAGCGACTTAAGAACAACAGAACTGGAACAGAAAAGGTGAAGAAGCAAATCGACATACATACTTACATCACGACAATCAATAAGACAATCTTAACTTTACATTGATGTCGTTTAAATAGATGAGGAATATATATATATGGGTACTGAGTGAATCAAGATGTATGACACAATATGATGTAATTCCTACAGTATATGGTCAGTAGTACACAGACTGTAGAATATACAGTATATATATATATATTTCTTTTCTCCCTTTTTTTATTGCTCTTGATCTTCCAGCACTACCTTTGCAATACCTTCTTACTCCTCCCCCTGTATGAGACATGACGGTGTGCATCTTGTGCTTGCGGAAATAGCATTGTGAATGGAGATAAAGAGGTGCAGCCTTGTGAGGACCTGTGAGATTATTAAAAATGACTCTCCCCTCATGAATCTCCTCTGCTTGTGTCCATTACACTTAAACCAATCACATTTTCCCAGAAAGTACTTGTGGTTTCGCATTATGGACTAACAGAAAAGAAACCCTTACTTTTACTCTTCAAGTAATGCTTAGTGATCAACTATCGCTAATGTGCTAAACGTGCGTCTGCATCAGATTATAAAGGTCTTATTGAGCAGTGAAATGACACCGCAAAGCCAAACGTCCCATAAAATGTAGACATCCGTTCGTCCTAATGGCAAAGTCCAACATTACAGCTGCAACACGGATCAGTTCTGGTCATTATTAGGTGTCAACTGGGCCACACTCTCCCAACCTGCAGCAATTTAACTGCTACTTGGATCGAGGTCCATTATAGAACACGGCATAGCTGGGCAGGTGGACAACAGCAGCGTTGGCCTCAGCCTCTTCTGACCTCTGTCCACTCTGCTCACTTCGACCAACGTGTTGTCATGTAATGACAGTGGGAATAGAGGCAGCAGTAAAACTGACACATTCCTAGAGATTAAATCCTGTTTTTGTCACTTCCTGTCTGTCAATTAGATTTTGTCTGTTTATAAATAACTTGCATACATATAAATGAGGTCATTTGATTTTTTTTTACACAAGAAAAAGTCATTCATTTCTCAGACCAGCTGACACATCTCGGCATCTTGGTGACAGACACATTTGGGCCAGTGGTTTGTCAGAGCAGGTCAGGCTGAAGTGCTGCAGCCCTGGACCAAGTGTCCGTCAAAACAGCTGGTGGACAGAGTTTATTAAGGACATTTTTTTTAACAGCGCCCTCCTGTGACCTGATCATCACCAGTACTTAATAATCCAATATTATAACAACTATCTGCTAAATATAGAAAAAAATCCCTCCATACTCTGTATCTTAAATCTGGTGATTTGAGCATCATAAATGTCCTGTAGTTCTTTTTCTTTTTGCATCAAACCAACTGTTGTCAATCACCCCCGGGTACACATATTTACAGTATATATTGGGGGGGGGGGTTAGGGTTAGAAAACTCAGCACCAAGAAGCCTCAATTCCTTTTCAGAAAAAAGTCCCTTAAGTCGCTACAAAGTAACACCAAACAGGATTTTTCACATGGAAAACGCATCTTTTCTTATGTGGTGAATCGCCACAGCAGGTGGTGGGCAACATCTAAACATCTAAAGCTTGCATAGCTTACATAAGAAGGAATGGATGAGGTTGTTACATGCACAGTCAGAAGAAAAAAGGGACTTAATTACTGCAAGAAAACACACAGATTTTATTCATTTGTAGCAACTTGAAAACTCAAATAAACACTGGTAATTTCCATTGATATTTCTGTGTTTTAGTTGTGGTAGGGTGATTGTAGTAATATTTAGTCAAAGTGGTATATTGTTGCCTGGAGGGAGCCGGACAATGTTACACATTTAAACCCTGGAAACAACACTTCAGTGTTAAATCGTCTGTAAGTCGTATAACAAAGGCGACAAAGTTCTCGCTGCAGCAGCTTCTGCATTAAAACTGAGGAGAGCCACAGTTTGATCCCACTGGTGGGGGTGGATTTAACTGTTCTCACCGAAAGATCACGGTAAAGTCCAGGTGTCATGTTGAACAGAGGGATGTGTCGGAGGTATACATTAAAAACAAATGTAGGAAAGACAAATATCCAGTGGATTTGAGATTTAATATCTTTTTTAGCGGGAGTGTGGTTGTCTTTAAAGCTCCTTTCAGCTTGACAGTGCAGCAGCAGTGACTGAAGGGGCACAAAAGCAATTTGTGGCCCGGTGTGAAATGTTTTGACATAAATGGAGGCTATGTAGAGAAATAGCATGGTTATTTAAATAAATAAAGAGTCACTTTTTCATTTTCTTTGATAATTTAGTTCCATTTGTTCCCTCGTTAATTCATCCGGGCTACTGCAAAGACAGCTCGTCAGAGACGGGGAGTCTGAACTGAGTTTAATACATCTATTATCGTCTGCTTATGAAAAGTTTGCCACAAGTTTGTGCAGACTTGGCTGCATCATGGCGTGACATTGCACTTTTGAAGGGTCAAAATCTTTCCTCCCTGTGAACAGCCTGTCGACAGTTTGTAGTAGAGACATCATACTCCGTCTGATGAGTGACCGTATTGCACACCAGGGCAGAACTTGTGAGCAACAAGGGAGAACGAATGTTGTGGTTGATTGCTGGAACCTCACATATCATGTGTCAGTGTTTAGCCTCCGGAGTCAACAGAAGGATCCAAACATCAGTCAGTCATTCCTGATTGGAATTGGAATAGACAAACTGCATTAACCGTGACTTGTTCAGTCTGGGTTGGGAGAAATTGAATAAGAATGAGGCATTTTTGGGAGGATTCAAGGACATCATAGTGCATTACAAAAGACCCAGGGTTAATCTGATGCACTTTGAATAACTTAGAAATAATTAAAGCTGTCTGTGGAAATTGATGTAGTGTTAATTGCATGAATCTGCAAATCCCTTTGTTCTCCAGCAGGTGACAAATGAGCATTGACACCACAGCCATGCTGTAATACTAA